AAGCTGGAGATATATATGTGGCCATGTGTGATGACATTTGGTAAACTTGGAGAGACATAAAACCTTATCTTCTTCTTACCTCTAAATTTCGCTGTTAGACGTTTCATCAGTGAGTACTGCCTTTTTCTTTCTCTATATCAGTGAGTACTGCCTTTTTTTGTTTTTTTTAATGTGGAAAAGCTTACTACCACTTTATACCAAGAAATGTGTCACATGTACCCGAATATATTTAAAGAAAAATTACAGTTGGAGGAGGAACTTTCCTAAACATTGCTTACAAAAAAAGACATTTTGTAAAAAAGAGTGACTTTTGCACAAATTTCGAGATTTTTTTGACCAATTTGCCCTCTAAAAAAAAGAAACTAATCTGTTCCCATCTGTTTCACATCTTATATAATCAGAACCGTCTAAAATCATTTAAATCTAACGGTCTAGATTGTCCTGCTGTTTTGTGCAAGATGTGATCCCAGCCGTTAAACCTTATTAAATCTAACGGTTCAGATCTTGTTTAAGTTTGTGTGACTGTAGTAAATAGAAGGAAACCTTATCTCACAGCTTGTAAAAACAAAAGAGAAAGTGATTTTGGGGTTTAGGTTAAATCCACGTTTCTCTGTAATTCTCTGCTTGTCCGAGGTTCTTCTTGTTCTTATGTTAGGGTAAAGATGGATGATGATTTATCTTTATATACCAAGTTTCATGTGTCCACGTTTTTGTAAAAATTCTATTTTTGATTTCTCTATTTTTCCTGTAGGTAAAGATGGACGAGCATTGTATTGTGATTTGCGGCGAGTTTGTCCTGGACACGGCAAGTGGCAATTTGTAATAGACAAGGAGAGGTTGTCGAGAGTGGTATGTGTTTTTGATAGCCTTGGTATACGAGAGCTTGAAAGTAAAGTTTTAATCGAGTTTGGCGAATCAACATGTACTTCGACAGTAGCTGCATTGAGCTATTGGCCTCCCAATAGTCACGAACTAGCCACTGGTCTCCCAACGCCCCATGTTTTGTTGACAAGCGACGGAGGAGTTGGATACTTTTTAAAGCATGTTCGTGTGAATAAATCTATGAATAAATCTCAAAATAAGTCGAGGTGAGAAAAGATGTGGTTATGTCTTAATGGAGGAAGCAGACGCGTATACACCACAGATTGCAAGTGTGAAACATCAGTGTGTGTTTGAGAAAGGTAGTGTGTTCGGAAAATCTGTTTTCGGTTCTCATGGAGGTAGTGTTGGACCCCTGGATACTGCTGGTTCGAGAACGAAACCAGTTACTTTCGACGATGATGACGCTTTAGTTCGTGAGGTTGAGAAGGTTGAAGAGAGTCTTAGGAGTGGATGTTCTACTGGTTTTGACACAGATAAGGTTTTTACCGAAGGGATTGTTGCGACAGACAGCGACGAGGATGTTCCAGCTGACTTTGGGGATGAGTTGTCTGTCGAGTTTGATGATGTGAGACCTATGGACTATGACACAGAGTTTTGCTGTCCCCTGATTGATGATCTCTATGGTGGTTCTAATGCGGCTGAAGTGATTACAACAACATTGGATGACAATAGACCAGGTGGAAGTCGGCCATCAACGGTGTTTTGTAGTTTGAATGATGATTTTGATCACTTTGTTGTTTCAAATCATGATGTCCCTGGTAGTAGTGGACATAGTGGGATGGACAGAAAACCTATAAAGAATATGAACCATTCGTGGTCACAGCCACCCACTACCATCCATAATGGGAACCCTGGTGGACGACATAACGTGGATAGTACGAATGCATCTACTAGGCGGCTGCTGTCT